ACTAATTCTGGACTTTCAACCATCAGGTTCCTTGGAAGCGGGGCAGCACAGCCTAAAGGGGTAGCAGCTGGGACCCGCCACTGAAGGCTGGGTGGGGAAGAAAGTTCATCCTGGATGCATTCCTAGGCTTCTGTCACTCCAGTCAGACCAGTCACTGGACTCTTTGGTTGCTGCGTTCTAAATGCTGCTGTTGGGTGATGATAATCCTGGATTCAGAAAACCTTCGCATTGGACTTATGGCTTCAAGCATTCCCAGGGCCCTTTGGTTTGTACCAAATAAGTGTGTCAACTGAAGAACCATCAACCAGCCAAAAATAAGCAGGCACTGGCTCACCTCCTTTTAATTGTGCTTTGCTTGAGTGCACTTTGCAAATATTACAATTTTTTTTTTTTTTTTTTTTTTTTTTTTTGAGATGGAGTCTCGCTCTGTCTCCCAGCCTGGAGTGCAGTGGCACAATGTCAGCTCACTGCAACCTCCACCTCCCAGATTTAAGCGGTTCTTTTGCCTCAGCCTCCTGAGCAGCTGGGGCTACAGGCACTTGCCACCACACCAGGCTAATTTTTGTATTTTTAGCAGACACAGGGTTTTACCATGTTGGCCAAATTGGTCTCAAACACCTGACCTCAAGTGATCTTTCTACCTCGGCCTCCCAACGTGCTGGGATTACAGGTGAGAGCCGCTGTGTCTGGCCTGATTTTTAAATTTTTGTAGACATGGTGTCTAACTGTGTTGTGTGGGCTGGTCTCAAACTCCTGGCCTCAAGCAGTCGTCCCACCTTGGCCTCCAAAGGGCTGGGATTACAGGTGTGAGCTGCCACACCCAGCCACATCTCTTATTTAAATCTAAAGCTAGAAATGATTAAGCTTCATCAGGAAGACATGTTGAAAGCTGACGTAAGCCAAAAGCTAGGCCTCGTGCACCTAATAGGCAAGGTGTGAATGCCAAGGAAAAGTTCTTGAAGGAAATGAACTCTAGTGAGCAAAAGTGATAAGAAAGTGGCCCGGGCACGGTGGTTCACGCTTGTAATCCCAGCACTTTGGGAGGCTGAGGTGGGTGGACCATTTGAGGTCAGGAGTTCAAGACCAGCCAGACCAACATGGCGAATCCCCATCTCTACTAAAAATACAAATAAATTAGCCGGGTGTGGTGGTGCATGCCTATAATCCCAGCTACTAGGGAGGCTGAGGCAGGAGAATCACTTGAACTTGGGAGCCGGAGGTTGCAGTGAGCTGAGACCATACCACTGCACTCTAGCCTGGGCAACAGAGAGAGCCTGTCTAAAAAAAAAAAAAAAAAAAAAAATGCAAGGTGAAACAGCAGGTGCGATAGAGAAGCTGCAGCAAGTTATCCAGGAAATCTAGCTAAGATCACCAGTGCAGGGCTACACTCAACAATAGATTTTCAGTGTAGATGAAACAGCCTTCCATTGGAAGAAGATGCCATGCAGGACTTTCACAGCTACAGAGGAAAAAAACCAATGCTCTATTTCACAGCTTCAAAGGACAGGCTGACTCTCTTATTAGGGGTTAATGCTCCTGGTGACCAAGTTGAAGCCAGTGATCATTGACCATTCTGAAAATCCTAGAGCCCTTAACAATTATGCTCAATCTTGGGGTCGGGCGTGATGGTTCTCACATGTAATCCCAGCACTTTGGGAGGCTAAGGCATGCAGATCACTTGAGGTCAGGAGCTCAAGACCAGCCTGGCCAATATGGCAAAACCTCATCTCTACTAAAGAAAAAATGCAGGGCTGGGTGTTGTGGCTCATGCCTGTAATCCCAGCACTTTGGGAGGCCAAGGCGGTTGGATCACGAGGTCAGGAATTTGAAACTAGCCTGGCCAACATAGTGAAACCCGATCTGTACTAAAAATACAAAACTTAGCTGGGCATGGTGGTGCACGCCTGTAATCCCAGCTACTCAGGAGGCTGAGGAAGGAGAATCGCTTGAACCCAGGAGGTGGAGGTTGCAATGAGTCGAGATCACACCATCGCACTCCATCCTGGGCGACAGAGCAAGACTGTGTCTCAAAGAAAAAGAAAAAAATACAAAAATTATCTGGGTGTGGTGGTGTATTCCTATAATCTCAGCCACTTGAGAGGCTGTGGGATAAGAATCTCTTGAACCCAGGACGTGGAGGTTGCAGTGAGCCAAGATAATGCCTCTGCATGCCAGCCTGGGTAACAGAGCAAGACTCTCCCTCAAAAACAAATAAATAAATAAGAATTATGCTAAATCTTGCGCAAAAACAAAAAGATAGAAGAAATAAGAGCTGGTGTTTCAGTAGAGTGACTATAGTTAGTATTAACTGACTGCACATTTCAAAATAGCTTGAAGAGAACAATTCATAGGTTCCTAGTATAGAGAAGAGATAAGATGATAGATATCCCAATTACCTTAATTTGATTACATGAATGTATCAAATTATCACACATATACCCAAAATATGTACATCTATGTATCACTAAAATAAAATTTTTAAATGATGCTAATCTACTCTGTGCTCTAGAAATGGAACACAAAACCTGGATGACAGCATGTCTGTTTACAGCATGGTTTACTGAGTATTTTAAGCCCACTGTTGAGACCCACCCTCGGAAAAAAAGATTTTTCAAAATACTACTGCTCACCAGGTGTGAAGGCTCACATCTGTCACCCCAGCACTTTAGGAGGCTGAGGCAGAATAACCAAGAGTTTCAGACCAGCATGTTCAACACATGAGACCACATCTACCTATTTATCTATCTATCTGGCTATCTAATTTTTTATTTTTAAGAAATCTTATTTTTTAAAGAAATCAGAATATGCTGGCCACAGTGGCTCAAACCTGTAATCCCAGCACTTCAGGAGGCTGAGGTGGGCGGATTGCTTGTGCTCAGGAGTTCAAGACCAGCCTAGGCAACATGGCAAAACCCCATCTTTACAAAAATACAAAAATTACCTGGCATGGTGGTGTGCACCTTTAATCCCTGTTACTCACGTGGCTGAGGTGGGAGGATCACTTGAGCCTGGGAGGCAGAGGTTGCAGTGAGCTGAGATTGCTCCACTGAACTCCAGCCTGGGTGACAGAGCAAATATCTGTTTCAAACAAAAAAGAAAGAAAGAAAAGAAAAAATCAAACCCCACTGAGCACAGTGGCTCATGCCTGTAATCCCAGCACTTTGGGAGGCCAAGGCGGGTGGATCACCTGAGGTCAGGAGTTCAAGACCAGCCTGACCAACATGGTAAAACCTCCTCTCCACTACAAATCCAAAAAATTAGCTGGGTGTGGTGGCAGGCACTTGTAATCCCAGCTACCCAGGAGACTGAGACAGGAGAATCGCTTGAATCTGGGAGATGGAGATTGCAGTGAGGCAGGATCACGCCACTGCACTCCAACCTGGGCAACAAAAGTGAAACTGGGTCTCAAAAAATAATAATAATAATTAGAGCCTCACTTTTATCCTCTAAGGTGATATAAGCTACACACACACACACACACACACACACACACACAATACAGTAATATATACACATATAAATGTATATGTACCATGTATATATTATACTAGTATATTTACATAATTTACATATATATATGCAATCTATTAGTGTAATACATATTTTGTATATATTACAAAATATGTATATTTGTAATATATATTTTGTATATATTACAAAATATACGTATATATTACACTAATATATTGCATATACATAATTTACATATACATGTAAATACACAATTTACATACATATAGGCGAATTATGTATATGCAATATATTAGTGTAATATATATATTTTGCAATATATACAATATATTACACTAATATATTGCATATACATATATGTAAATTGTGTATATGCAATATATTAGTGTAATATATACATATATTTACATATCCTGACCTCAAAATATAAACTATATATACATATATTTTGTATATATTACACTAATATATTTACATAATTTACATATATGTGCATGCAATATATGAGTGTAATATATACATGTATTTTTATATAGTGTAATATATACATATATTACTGTAGTATATATTACAGAATTAATATTTATGGATAAGCCACAAAAGTGAAATCTACTCCTTGTGAAGAGGCTATGAACATTGTCAAAATGACAACAAAGAATTTAGAATACTCCTAAACTTAGTTGATAAGGCATAACACAGTTTGGGATGACTGGCGGCAATTTTGAAGGAGGTTCTCTACTGCGGGTTGAATGCTATCAGACAGCACCGAAGCCTACAGAGAAATCTTTTGGGAAAAGAAGAAGTCCATTGATGTGGCAAATTTCATTGTCTTTTTTTTGCTTTTTTTTTGCTTTTGAGTCTCACTCTGTCACCCAGGCTGGAGTACAATGGCATGGTCTCAACTCACTGCAACCTCCGCCTCCTGGGTTCAAGCGATTCACCTGCCTCAGCCTCCCAAGTAGCTGGGATTACAGGCACCCGCCACCATGCCTGGTTATTTTTTGTATTTTTAGTAAAGACAGGGGTTCACTGTGTTGGCCGGGCTGGTCTCAAACATGATCCACCTGCCTCGGCCTCCCAAAGTGCTGGGATTACAGCCAAGAGCCACCACGCTCGGCCCATTGTTGTCTGTTTTTAAGGAACTGCCTTCAGCAACCACCACAATCTTCAGCAACCACCGCCCTGATGAGCCAGCAGCTGTCAACACTGAGGCAAGACTTCCACCAGCAAAAAGATTATGACTCTCTAAAGGCTCAGCGATCATTAGACTTTATCAGCAATCAAGTATTTTAAAATTAAGGTGTGTACATTGCTTTGTAGACATGATGCTATTGCACACTTACCAGACTTCAGGATAGTGTAACATTTACACGCACTGGGAAACAAAAGTTTGTGTGACTCACTTTATTCTGACACTTGCTGAATTGCAGCGATCTGGGACCAATCCAGCAATATTTCCAAAGTATGCCTGCATGTACATCCCATCCCATAGGACGCAGAAGCTAGGTAGAACTCCTATTTTGTCTTACCTGAGACAAGGGTAACATATAGCCTCGGTATTTTGTGGGCAAAAATTCAGTCTTTATGATTAACCTAAACAGGAAGCAGGAAAAAGCACAATTTTGTTTTAAAAACTAATCTTTTTAAAAATAATCAGTTGTTCTTGTCACAGGGATCAAGAATTCAAGAGCATAGAAGTTGACGATATATCAGAACATAATTGTGACAGCTAATATCCACATGAGAGAAAAATAAGAAGTAAACTGACAGCTGCTCCCGGGTTTACAACTTACTCCCAATACTTCAAAGCTTCTATCACTTAAGAAATGTAAGCCTTGGCCAGAGGCAGTGGCTTACGCCTGTAATCACAGCACTTTGGGAGACCAAGGCAGGTAGATAGATCACCTGAGGTCAGGAGTTCGAGACCAGCCTGGCCAACATGGTGAAACCCTATCACTATTAAAAACACAAAAATTACCCGAGCGTGGTGGCGTGCACCTGTAATCCCAGCTACCTAGGATGCTGAGGCAGGGGAATCACTTGAACCCAGGAGGCAGAGGCTACAGTGAGCCGAGATTGCACCATTGCACTCCAATCTGGGCGACAGAGCAAGACTCCGTCTCAAAAAAAAAAAAAAAAAAAAGAAAAGAAAAGAAAATATAAGCCTTATCTGTTTTGCCAAGGGAAGCATTGGCAAAATGTTTCCCCAGGCCTGATTCCTTTTTCTTATTTATTTCTTTTAGAGACAAAGTCTGGCTGTCTCCCAGGCTGGAGTCCAGTGGTTTGATCACAGCTCACTGCAGCTTCTAAGTCCTGGGCTCAAAAGATCCTCTCACCTCAGCCTGCCAAGCGGCTGGGATTTTAAGTGCTCACCACCACACCCAACTAATTTTTTAATTTTTTGCAGAGATGGGATCTTACTACATTGCCAATTCTGACCTCAAGCAAAGGTCGCACCTCAGCTTCCCAAAGGGCTGAGATTATGGGGGTGAGTCACTGCACTCAGCCCGATCCCCTTTTCTAAAACATATTGGGAAATTAAAACTACACTCAAGAGAAGGTAAATAGTTCTCTCAAGTAATGAGAACAGTCAAGGCACAAGTTTCTAATTATTTTTTTTTTTTTTTTTTTTAGAGATGGAGTCTCGCTCTGTCGCTCAGGCTGGAGTGCAGTGGCACAATCTCGGCTCATCGCAACCACCACCTCCCAAGTTCAAGTGATTCTCCTGCCTCAGCCTCCCAAGCAGCTGGGATTACAGGCATGCGCCACCACACCCAGCTAATTTTTGTATTTTTAGTAGAGACGGAGTTTCACCATGTTGGTCAGGCTGGTCTCGAACTTCTGACCTCAGATCCACCTTCCTTGGCCTCCCAAAGTGCTGGGATTACAGACGTGAGCCACCGCACCCAGCGTAAGTTTCTAATTAAGTACATATTTTCTTTGTGACTAGAAGAATAGAAAGGTATTCCATTAGTTTTCTAATTGCTCTTCTCTGTTGCTGTTACTAGCCAGAATTTGGGAGTTTTAACATATTTTTTGAGCTATTTCCTGGGGAATGTTTTAAATTTTTACTTAACTTCTACTCCTTTAGGGCTCCACAGCATACTGTATGCCCCAGGGAAGAACAATTTTTTTTCTAACACATGAGGGCAGTAATTAGGTGCTTTGACATCTCCTAATATATCTTAAGAATAACCTGCTCCAAGGCACCCAGAAGAGAATCGCCCAAGGGGCCCTGTCAATTCAAGGGGCGGGGAGTTCCCACAAATGAGGTTTCCTCCCCGTTGTAGACCATATAGGGTAGCTTCTGACATTGCCAGGGAATTTGTAAGCTGCCGCACCAGTCTCTAATACACTAAAGCCAAGGTTTTATCATGCAGATGAAGCCTCCAGGTAGCCAGCTTCAGAGGAAATAGGCTGTACATGTTTTTTTTACCAGCCTCACCACCAAGCATCATTTTAAGGAGAAAATGTCTCCTACCGGAGCATTAAATAAGCGGCTATCACTAAAAACCAAACAAAGCTCAGGCTGAATTTGCACAGTGATGTCTATAAATCTGTAACTTATGAATGCTGTAAACCAAAAGTAAAATTTGCACTCCCCCCCTTCATCTCCCAACCACCACCATCTAAATGGATTTCCTCCTCAGCCAGGGCACTCTAAAATTTAACCTAGAAGACTGGTTCAGGCCATGACAAGAAGTGGGGTCGGTCATGCCTTATCATACATGCTCCACTCCCCACCCCAGCATTAACATCAATGCAGACCTTAAGTCTGGTAAAAAAAAAAAAAAAAAAAAAAAAAAAAAAAAAAAACATGTACAGCCTCTTTCCTCTGAAGCTGGCTACCTGGAGGCTTCATCTGCATGATAAAACCTTGGTTGTAGAAACCAGAATGTGTTAACCTGGACATTCTTTTCTACTGATAATAACTCTTTCAACCAATGCCAATCAGAATATGTTGAGATCAGCTGGGTGCAGTGACTCATGCCTGTAATCCCAGCACTTTGGGAGGCTGAGGCAGGGGGATCATCTAAGGTCAGGAGTTTGAGACTAGCCTAGCCAAGATGGAGAAACCCCATCTCTACTAAAATTACAAAAATTAGTCGGGCGTGGTGGCACTCGCCTGTAATCCCAGCTGCCCGGGAGGCTGAGGCAGGAGAATCACTTGAACCTGGGAATCGGAAGCTGCAGCGAGCTGAGATTGTGCCATTGTACTCCAGGCTGGGCAACAGAGCAAGACTATCTCAAAAAAAAGGAATATATTTACATCTACCTATGATCTGGAAGCCCCCCACCCTCCTTTGAGTTGTCCTGCTCTTCCAGAGGTAATAAATGTAAACCTTACATGTTTTTTTTTAATTGTACTTTAGGTTCTGGGGTACATGTGCAGATCATGCAGGATTGTTGCATAGGTACACACACGACAATGTGGTTTGCTGCCTCCAACCCCGTCACCTACATCTGGCATTTCTCCCCATGTTAACCCTCCCTAACCTCCCCACCCCCTCACTGTCCTTCCCTTGCCACCCCCAACAGACCCCATAATCTTACATGTATTAATTGATGTATTATGTCCCCCTAAAATGTGTAAAAGCAAGCTGTACCCCTACCACCTTGGGCACATGTCCTCAGGACCTCTTGAGGCTGTCACAGGCACGTCCTTAACTTTGGCAAAATAAGCTTTCTAAATGGACCAAAACCTGTCTCGGGTATACTGGGTTCACAATGCTTTTGGTCTATTAAGTGCAGGTTTCGGGTAAGGGCCTGCAGGGGTAGGTGTTTCTGTCTCAGGGTCCTCTGGGTAACATATTTACCCTTGTGAGTGGCCGGACACGCCACAGCCCACCATTGTCCGCAGGAAGACAAACCAGATGTACGAAGGAGCAAACGAGGTCAGCAAGGAGAAGTAGGCTCCCCACAGGAACGAGATGAGCAGAATCTGAAGCAACAACAGAACACTGATGACGGGGACCCGCCTCCATGCGGGGAGGGAAGAAGCCCTAACTTCTGAAGGCGATTTTCTGTTTCCCTCCTAACAGTGTCTTCTCCGAGGGGCTCCTCTATAGCAAGCCCACTGGTCTCTCTCAGTCATCCACCAATACAATCCATGCCATGCTAGTGTCTGAAAGCCCAGACCTTCCAAGTTCAGACCATTCTTTAAAACTACGCTGCTGGCTGGGTGCGGTGGCTCAAGCCTGTAATCCCAGCACTTTGGGAGGCCGAGGCGGGTGGATCACAAGGTCAAGAGATCAAGACCATCCTGGTCAACATGGTGAAACCCCGTCTCTACTAAAAATACAAAACATTAGCTGGGCGTGGTGGCGCGTGCCTGTAATCCCAGCTACTCAGGAGGCTGAGGCAGAAGAATTGCCTGAACCCAGGAGGCGGAGGTTGCAGTGAGCCGAGATCGTGCCATTGCATTCCAGCCTGGGTAGCATGAGTGAAACTCCATCTCAAAAAAAAAAAAAAAAAAAAAAAAAAAACTACACTGCTGTGCCCAACTTTATGGGTGGCAGGTCCCTGAACTTGGACATCAGAAGGCAAAAATGTAACCTCCCTCCTCCCAGGGCTGTTGGGGACACAGTGAGGCAATACACTGGGAGGAGTACCAGGAGCACATGTAAGGTATTTGCTTTTTCCTTAATTATAAGGATCATGTAAGTTCATAGTTCACAATACAGAAAAAAGAAAATTAAATAATTGAAACCATCATTGATTGTCCAACCCAGAGAAAATACTCTTAACACCATTTTATCTTCTGTTTGTAAAACAATGTGTTAATGGCTGTACATATTCCAGTGGAAAGATGTATTTTTTTTTTTTTAAAAGACATGGTTTCACTATGTTGGTCAGGCTGGTCTTGAACTCACAACCTCAGGTGATCCGCCCGCCTTGGTCTCCAAAGTACTTGGATTACAGGCGTGAGCCACCACGTCCGGCCAAAAGATGTACTTTCACACATGCAATACATAAGACCTTTCTCTACCGTTGAAGTTAAAGTTGTTTCAGAACTTCTCATTATTAAAATAAGCTGTGATGGTATCTGTGCTTAAGTCATTATGCCCTCTCTGACATCTTTAGCAAGCTAGATTTCTGGAAGACAAATGGTCAGGTTAGCAGAATATTTTCAAGGTTCCTGATTCATACTGCCAAGCCCATGGTCAGAAAAATTATACCAATAGCATTTATTATATATGATGATACAATAACACCAATAGGGTATAATGAGGGTGTCTACACACTTGCAAGGCATGAAAATGTCCATTTCAATGGTGCAGGATTCTTTAAGGAAAATTTTCCTTACAGATTTGAAAAGGAAAAATTATATCCTGCTGTGTATTTTGTTTTTGATAAATCCTATGTTTCATGTTTTTTCAATGTTGCTTGACCATTTGCATTTCTTTTATAAAATGACTTTGTGCTTTTTGAGATACTTGTATTTTCATATTTACAAGAATCTATGATAGTTATTTCATGTTATAGATTAAAACATACAGCCAATTCTATTCATGTTTTCCTTTGAGTTTCCTCCATTCGTGTTTATGCTCAGAGAGAATTTCACCAGAAATCAAGCAAATAGAAAAGACAGAGCTGGGTTTGTCATTAGAAGACATAATTTATGTCTTGATGTCTAATCTTAGTAGGTACGTGACTTTGAGCAAGGAGCTAGTTTCAAAGCTAAACCAACGTGAGCAAAATGTGTAGCTGCTATGTTGATACCTGCAAATGTCCACATTCTAATATGTTTTAATTCTGTACATCCATCAACTTGAGAAAGAAAAGCAGCTCAGAGCAGTCTGAGGAATGTGAGGTATGCAGAATTTATCAGGTCCAGAGACACAGCAGCAGTGGGATGCCAGTCACATTCCCGCACCCACGCCCTGGGTAATTGTCTAAAGGCATTTTGTTTTTCTTTCCTTCCCTGTAGTTTCCAGACTAGCTGATAAATTACCTAAAATGTTACCACAAGTTGCTCAACATGACGCTCATCCATTATCTCCATGTGTTTAGATTTTGTGATAAAAAGAACAATGAGGGGTAAGGTAAGATAGATTATGTTATTTTAATGAACCAGTGTAAATTATTAGTTAACTTGCAAAGTACCCCCAAATTCTTTTCTCCCCTCCTTCAAAAAACTCCCTTGTAACTGCTGCTAATCAGAGCATATATTCAGGACAACTGGACCATATGACCTCTGGGCTGCGATCCTCAACCTTGGTCCAAATAAACTCCCTACTTATATTAATTTTGCCTCTGTTTCTTCCTTTAGGTCAATGTTTCCGGCATAGCTGGCAGGGTTCAGAGCAACATCAGACCCTTACCCCACAATCACCCAGAGTCTCCTCATGGACTTGCTACATGAACCCACCGTGTTCCCCTAGCTCCAGAGGTTTCACTGGGCACAAAAGGGTGAGTCTACCTGAATCTGGACCTCCTTTTCTTTAGGTTGAGGTCTAGGGTTTGGGGGGGGCTTCTTTTTAAACTCTCTCATTTAAGATCAAGGGTTTCCATTTCTGTCCCTGGACAGGAGATTCAGGCAAATGGTCCCGCAGAGAACTGCTTTCTCCGCCTCTGCCTCATGGTAGCAGGTTCGGCTTATGGCCTTGGCCATCCGGCACTAGTGGTGTTACTTTCTCTTGTTCTAAAATTACATCACATGCTTTAAAACTTGCATCTGTTTCCTACTGATTGTAACTTGGACTTGTCTTTTCATTTGTGACCAATTCCTGCTAGTTTCAAACAGATAGGTGCACAAGGGTGAGTTCTCTTGCCCCAAAGTTAAGGGATACTTGCTCCCTCTAGACCCAGCTGAGTGCTCTGGGGGACTAGAGACTTTCTGGACATTTGTTCATGACATGTAGGTGTCTCCCTGAAAGAAGAACACCTTCTTCTGAGCTTGCAGCTGCAGCAGTGAACGTGTCAGTTAAACGAAAACCAGAGGGAAAAACCTCCCAAGAGAAATAGGGCTGTTGTGAAGGACAAAAGGGGCCTTTTCCATTTCCCCTTATTAACTCTTAGAAGTGAATGTGTGGATAGAGAGAACGGACATGTTCCCCCACCGATATCAGAGCCACTGTCCTTAACCCACAGTAAACTGGACATGGTGGGGGCATCTAACCAACCCATGACTACTTCTAAGTCCCAACCTTTAGGAGTACAAATAGAGCCACTTAGCGGCCTTCATTCCTCTAGTGCTTCTTGGTAGAGATTTCTTGGAACTCTGTAATACCTGCATTTCCTTTTACTCCACACCTGGAATGCAGAGAAAAAGTTGTGCCCACAGGTACCCTGAGAAAAATGAGATGTCCAGAAGATAAGCCTGGGATGTTCCATCAGGGAGGAAAATATCCACATTTCCTATCTTGTGTAATAGGAGGGAAATGCCTACTAAAGAGAAACAGCGATAAGGCTGCCCTCAAAAGAATACACAAAAGAAAATTCCAAATGAGACCGTGAGGCCCGACGTACCTTCCAGCGGCCGTATCTGTCAGCCAGGAGGCCAAAGAGGATACTGAAGACCATGTAGCCAAAAAACACCATCTGCGGGTGCGGGTGAGACAAAATGGTTCTCCAAGTCATTTTTAGAAGATGTTACTTCACCCCATTAGCCATTTGCACTAGAAGTAGGCTGGAAATACGTGAGGAATGGGAGTTAAAGAATAGGGTTTCACAAAGCACTTGCTTGCTCCTGACACACTTCATGTTCAGAATTTTAAAGACAGGAGTTTATGCTCCCTGTTGGCGGATCCCACTCAATCGCCTAACGAGGGAGACACCCCCCTCCCCCGCGGGTGGAAACAAGGTCCTCGGAGCTGCTGTCCTCCTGCTGCTAGAGGACAGCTTCGGCTCCATTCAGGTGTGTACTTGTGAATTTCCACTGTAATTTTTAGAAGTCTCCATTCATGCTCTGCCTTATTCAACATACAAACTGGGACGACTAGAAGCAGTCTCTCTTTATGTTATGACAAATAAACATTTCTTTAAAACACCAAATCCAATCACCCATTTAAAAAACTCTTCAGAAGAAATATAAATCCTCAGATAAACCTACTTCTTTTCCTTGCTCGTTCTCTCCATGGCCTGTCCTCCCCTGGTAAAATTCAAGGACCTGGGATTTGACACCAGGGTGTTATTTATTATAACTCGGCCTGAGCCCTCAGCCGCTGCCTGTGCCTCTGGGCTCCTTATTTTCCTGCCTTCAAGCAGTTCAGGCTTCACTGCAGCCATGACTGACGGCCTCCAGGGCAATCAAAGGAATGCTGTTAGCTCGCATTTCTGGGGAAAACAAACCAAACCAGAAACGGCTCTGTTTCCCTTTAGCTGTCGCTGTTCTGCTTTTTTTTCTCCTTCCCTCACTCTTCAGAGGGAAGACTCAAATGCCTTTCTCCCACACGGAACCATGAAAAATTCATCATATGTATTACTGCACGACAAAAGCCGCGATGGGGCCCCACGCGCTACACTTTCTAGGGCAGAAACATCAGCAGCCCCATTTGACAGACTGCGCAGACAGAAACCTGTAAGCTTGCGGGGGCTCAGGTTCTCCCTCTCCCCGCTTCCCTCCCTCGCCCACGAGCCTCAGCGGCGCCCCTTCTGGAGCGCCCTCTCCCGCCCGCCCCTGCCCCCACCCCACTGCCCCCTTCTGCGCTATCCCCCACTCTCCACCCGGAAGACGTCCTCCTCTGCTCGTGCGCCCCACCTAGTGCGCACAAAACCCTCGAGCGCCCCGATCCTCCATTCCGCACGACCCTGACCGCCCCCATC